CTGAAGTATTTGTATCTGTTTCACTATTTGCACAGTGACAGTCTTAGTCAACAATACCAAGAACACRGCCTACAAAGCAATAGCAGACTTCAATGTTGACTCACTAGAAGAATTGGTYACTTTATTACAAAGCGACTCCATGGTTGTCACAAGGACAGATTAAGTACAGTGAAAACAGTTTAGAGAATATTGAAAACTTTATTGTAAAATATGAAAATAAATTAATAGCACATGAGTACGATTTTAGGACCTACACGCATCCCTATTTTTTGCAACCACATATTCCTGCAAGGGTTTAGCTTACACGAATTTGAATAAAAATAGATCAAGTCAATAAAATGTTCATTTATTCTATTTGTTGACTTATTTACGATTTTTAGCAGGCGTATATATTTTCCGAACAATTAAATTTGCACAGCACAGTTGAAAGCGGTGTATGGGGCGTGGCAATCAATCCGAACAATGAATTTGACGCTACTTCGTTCAATTCAATATATTTTGATCAAATAATTTTCATGGACTCCTTGGCAGTGACTTGTCGYCCATGAAAGGCCACAACAGCTACGGCACGTAGTGAAAGATAAATGAGGACTCGTTCACATTCACTGAATCGTCAGTTTTTTTAAAGCACCTTTATCATGTTTGTACTTGTGTTACAAAGAGTTATAGAACTGATTCAACAAAATAATACTTCTTCATTGTTCGAGAGGGAGTCGTCGAGAGGAGTACAATTACAGGGGGGAGCTCAACGAAATTCCAAAGACTGTGTAGCTACATAATTCGATAAAATCGATAATTCAGTTCACTGTGAACAATCCAAGGTTATTTTATAGAAATGAAAATAGCATTTTGTACAGAAAATCAAAAGTCAAAAAATTAAAAGCACTAAATACTTTGTATAAAGTGCGACAAAAGATGAACAGCTTCTTCTTAATGCCGGAAGATCTTGGAATGATATTTTTAGCAAATAATATTCATAGCCTCCCCCAAAGACAGTTCAAAGACAACGTGATTGACTTGGTCACGTCTGATTTCACGCTGAAGATTCTGGAAATCTACTGGAGTCACGCGTGTTGAGTATTCAGAGGCGATCACGCAAGCCTCTTTCAAAAAAGCCTTGAGCATTATCGGATACGRTGCCCCTTTCTTCTTGAAACTTTCTGTCGTCCGAAGGTTGGTATAACTTATTGCTATTATAGCATTTCCAGAGCAAAATTTAGAAAATAAGAGAAAAAGATGCTTAATTTCCCTTCGGCAAATTTAATTAGCCGTAATAAGCACTTCTCGAAGCACTGAAGCGAGGCTTGTAGGGGCATTTTGATCATTCTGAACGCGTAGAATACGCTTCTAAATCATCATAAATATATATCAAACATCATACAAGCATAACGGATTGCGAAATGTTTTATTATATAGCTTTTGTCGCTTTTGTTATGTTTTTGTTAGGTCGCTGCCATTACGCAGTGAAAAAGTTGTGGTCTGACAATCACGAAATGTTCAGCATTCATTTTTGAGTGTGTAACTTTCAAATTTTTACTAAAAAGCAATCTTTTTCATTATCTACAGTTCTATGATATCATTTGGAAAGAATTTTGAGTTTGTTTGACCATGTTTCATTTTGTCCCATATTTGGGAGTAGAAAAACTGGATTTTCGTTGYAGTTTCTTGTTTTGGTGGCCTTGGTTTTCATACAGGATCCAAGCAAGGTGAAACCTGTTTTACCAGAAATTYAACCAATCACACCACGGAAGACTTCAAATAAACCAATCACAGTCGCTCTTGTATGATGTCACGCATTTGACTCCACAACTTGTTTTTTTCCGAACGAGTGTTGATGAAATTCACTTCTTCGTGGATGAAAGACTGTTGTGATTTGCCATGATCTTTGAGAGAATACTGTTAAAAACTCCAGAGAAGCATCTCTTCTTCCTTAGGGTTTATTGCCCTATTCGAGTTAACTTCAAGGTCGTTTCTTGAACCTTATTTTCTCGACCGTCCTTCAGGTTCACCTTTCATGACCACGGCAACTGCGGGCTGAAATCGACCTACGCCTTCGTCTGCCGRTAYAAATAGCTACAAATTACTGAATCAGCAACAGTATAGGAGAAAAAGAGTATTAGTCAATCACAGAAAAGAAGAGTTATCATGAAAGAAAAGGTAAAAATAGAGAAAAAACTCGGTTATGTTGAGCGGGAACGTGGGGTCTTGTGATCGTGACGTATGAGAACGTACGACAACATAACCACGCGCTTTCACTTTTAAAAAAATTCATTTGTGCATTTTTTTCAACAGACATCTCTACCCAAAGCGTTTCTTGCTGGAGCTTTTAGTGGAACATGCTCAACCATTTTATTTCAACCCCTTGATTTAGTAAAAACACGAATTCAAGCGAGGACCGTGACAACTGCGGCTGGGTAAGGTTTCATGATGATTGTACTATCCCAAGGACATGTGTTCGCAACAGATAACTAATACATTGTCCAATAAAGAGGCCTCTACTCTCTAAAACAAAACAGCTCACAGAATTACGAGGAAAACACATAGCCTCGTGTCGTTATCTTCAGCTTGATATGAAATATTGAGAAATTGTAAAAACTTTTCAACTTTACTCAGACTTCTTTTCCTTTGCAGAAGCGATGGCATGTTGTACACATTTTATACTGTAGTAAGAACAGATCATGTAGCAGGACTGTGGCGGGGTTTAGTGCCAGTGAGTAGCATTAGGAATATATTTTTATGCGAGATGTTGTTTTCAAACTATTCAAATTGCCAATTTTTGGCGCAATTTTTAGTTGCTCATTTGGTTAACAAATGTATGGACTTTGTGCACTGGACTTTGATCCTACGTGTACCTCAGGTTGTAATGCACATTTTGTTATTCTTTATGTACGTGCAAACGCTATTCATTTCGAGGCCGACAGCCTCAAAGTCCAACTTCATGGTCCCTTAGGGTGAATATGCCCATTTACAAAAATTTGAATATGAACCAAAGTAATTGAAATCTAYCTGTTATTGGACACAGCTGAAGAAGAATTAGCACAAAAAGCTTGTTTGGGTTTATTTTGATGTAGTTGAGCTAATGTTTTTATGCATTTTTTTTTCAGTCTATTTACAGATGTGTGCCTGGAGTTGCAATGTATTTTGCTTCTCTGCATGGGCTGGGTAATTTGGCAAAGTAAGTCTGCAGCTGTTTTTTGTTTGTTTGTTTTTTTTTTTGCGTGTGTGTGTGTATTAAAAATTGTTTTCATAATGTCAAGCTTGTTAAACTTTCATGAAATTCTTCCAGGAATGTCAAAATTGTTTTTCTTATTTCAAACAGTACAGAGAACCCATCACCTCTGCAGTCAATTGCCTTAGGAGCAACAGCAAGAACTTTGGCTGGCATTTCCATGCTGCCAATGACAGTTATTAAAACCAGATATGAGGTAATACATATTCTGTGACATGATTTCAAAATTCCAAATTTCTGCAAAAATTGAGTTTAAATAATTCAACATATAACATATTCAATGATGAAAACAACTGGCCTTGGTATATCTTTTTGGTTACTGAAACTCTAGGTGGTAGGATTACCTGCTATTCCCTGTAGTTCTGGTATGGATAACTTCAAATCAAAATACGTCTGTGCTGTTATGTAATCAGTTTTCAAAGTGCCAGTATTTTCTCCAGTTCACCCAGCAGATTTGATAAACTAGAGAGTATATTTGACAGTTATATTAAAATACTTAACCAATTTTAGCAAATGTCCCAAAAGTCCCTATAAAAAGATCCCAATCAAGCATGGAAAAAAAATTTCAACTGTTCATCATTTAATCCAATTTATATCCATTTGTATTCCCTTTCAGAGTGGAAAGTTCAATTATAAGAGTATTCCAGATGCATTTAAGTCTATATGGAGACATGAGGGAGGCAAAGGGCTATATAGTGGTTTGTTGGCTACAGTGGCAAGAGATGCACCATTCTCTGGATTATACCTGATGTTTTATACCCAAATTAAAAGAAAAGCTAGAGATGGTGAGTGCTAATATTTTATAAACATTTTATAAAACATGTTTCGCTAATATTTCCAGATAAAATATCAAAAATATATTTTTGAATGTTGCATGGCATTTAACAAAATGTCTAGACATCCAAAAACCTTTGCAACCATTAGTTTGTGTTAGAAATGATCTTATGTTGAAATTGAGCAAAGGTTGTTGGAGGGACATGCCCTTTTGAGATTTGTCTGGGCAAAATTCATTTTTGGCCTGACGGGTCTAAGTCAGGTCTTGAGATCTGTATGCTGTCACTCAATAATCCTAATGACCTTCTGTTCTAGACGATTCTAATTCAAGTGTTCCATACAGTTTTACAGGTTGGAGACTTATCCAGTGGACAGAACTTTTCCTGTGGTGTGATGGCAGGTTTTATGGCTTCAGTTGTCACTCAACCAGCAGACGTAGTCAAAACTAGGCTGCAGATTAATCCATCCAAGTACTCCAGTAACACTAATGCACTGCTTTGTGTCGTAAAGGTAATTTATAAGATTTTTGAACTTATATATACAGTTCATTATAACAGTGTTGATGGATATACATTTTAGCAATACTGTATTCTCTATATTATTGGGATTTTATCATCAAATCTGTTGTTAATTTTAAGCTATTGATATTTTAGGAGGATGGCWTGGAAGGATTGTTTAGAGGGCTTATACCAAGAACCCTTAGAAGAACTTTCATGGCTGCCATGGCATGGACAGTCTATGAGGAGGTTAGTTCAAAGGAAAAAAAAAGAATTAACTTAGTGATTACAACTATTAAAATTTACATTGATATTAAACTTTTCTTTTTCTCTTCAAGGTTGTAAGATATTTTGCTCTCAAAAGTTATGGATAATRTTCAAAGAAATGAATGTTACAAAGAAGAAAGATGAATTCAAAAGTGATGGTACAACCATAATCCTTTGTTTCACAGTCAAGTAAACCCTTTGCTTGTGGTGTGACYCAACAAAGATGGCTCTTATTCAGAAGCATGTCATTCCACTAAAGCTTTTATTGGTATGCTTCGTTATACTACAGACAGAAACAGTCTGTAGGATAAAGGAAATTACAGGATACAAAGATGATGCTGTATTGCCAAATATGAACACTTAAGTGCCATGAAACAGCATTCAATATTCCAGAAGCTGTTTTTGCCACTTATTTCACAATGTCACAAATTTTAGCTAGTATAGTATATATTATCTCAATATTGTATATATATTGCTTATGGAGTTAACATCAGGATGAAAGTATTATTTAATATGTGCAGGAATTGCAGATATTTTCTCTTACATAGGAATACAAAATTATAGTAATATTTTATACATACCTATCAAATTGAGTGAAGGCATAAAACCCATGAAACAAAATCTACAATGCTGATGAAGTGTGATAGTCAAAAAGGCACAAAAGAAAAGAATTGAATTAGAATGTACTTAGGTGTACTGGTCTATCTATTCCATGGGCATTTTGACTTCACTCCAGTCTCAAAGTTCAGCTAGCATTATCCCAGATAAAGATTTAGGATTTTAACCTTCTGTTTCAAAGTCTTTATTTTGTTTTCATTGCTTGTTTTTTCTAATATTACAAGATTAGTATAAACAAAGATAAAACCAATCTTGGAGTCAAACAAACATTATTTTCCAGACTGACTGCTGATATATTGTAATCGTCATTTAAGACTATTTGAGGCTTGTAGAGTAAACACGGTTTTGCCTTGAAGTATAATGAAGATGGATAGTATTTATTTGTCTGTATATCGCTGAACCAGAATACTGTATGAAACAAAAGGTAGTACATACTGCTCTGGTTTTAAATATACTAGAAGTCTAATGCAAATTAACTTTTTTAATTTTGTTTTATGGTGCAAGTGTGTTTACTTTGATAAGCTGTTCTCCCTGATTATGAATTCATTGAAAATATTTTAGACAATCAAATAGTACTACTTTTGGAAGTTTTCCGAAAGGATATATTGGCAAATGAAACTGGCTATCAAGACCAAAACCTGTTGAAGATAATACACTGTGTTTGTCATTCCACAGGTTTCCAATGAAAAATATACTGCTACAAAGTTATAAAGAGATTTTTATTGTGCTATAAAGATATTAATGAATTGAAAATTTGTAAAAATGATGGTTGCAATGGAACTTAGAAATTGTGACAGTGTGGCACGCACTTAAAAGTTTTAGCCAACAACATTAGTTGCATTTGCCATTTATTTATCGACTCGATTCTTTATTCTGAGGAATAAAATATCAGGTCATATCGGAGCTCTGAAAATAATGCAGCATCATGCAAAAATATCAAATTCCAATACATGGAATAAAAATATTTTAAATTTTACACGAATTGTTTGTTTTTATTCATCTGGCACTACTTCAATTGTTGTTTCATCCTCTTCTTCAACAGCATTTTTCCTCWTTATTTTTTCTGTAAATTTGGAATCCTGCCATTGTTTTGCCTGTTCTGTTTGTTTGCCTTTAACAGTTGCAAGTGGGATATTTTTGTGCTCATCTCCTTCGACACCCTTTTTCCTTTGAGCTTCTATCTGTAGGGTTTCCCTTCCTGGCATTACCCTGGCCATAAGGGTGTCTATTTTTACATCGGCAGGGAGTTTCTTCTTGAGACAATACCGGCGTTCATAACAGGACGTGAAGTCRCATGATGTCTTCAATCCTGTGATCAGTAAGTTTTGTCCTTGTGTTTTTAATGTCAGGTCTCTTGGCGAGAAGCCTGTTATGTCTACATAGAATCGTAAAGTGTCAGACAAGTCTTGGGGTGGTCTCTCTGCTACCTTGATGTCAGATCTAGCGCCTGCTACTAGCGATGGAAATAGTAGGTCATCGCTCCAGTGTGTGTCAAATAAAGGGTGATTGAAGGGATCGCTGAGAGGCGAGCTGAAAACATCAAGGGATCGGTCGAACCAGTCGTTGTCTGGTGGCCATGGATGATGCAATCTGTTTAAAATAATCACCATATTTAAAAACTTGCAACAGAATAAATCATGCTGTCTTAACGTGATTTTACTTGTAAGAGAGGGAAGRTCTATTGTTTGCATGTTTACAAACAAGGACTTTATGAGGATAAACTGAAAATCCAGGTTTTAACTAGCGACGCAAGAACAGCGCAGAACACTTACGTTTCCACTAGCATTTCAAGCGCAAATTCTACAAAGCAAGCGCATGCCAGAAACTACGAAATAAGGCATGCGCTTGCAATTGCGTCGCTTGTGTAATTAAACCAGGCTTTATCAAAGTTCTGTAACTATGTATGGAAGTACCTGCACCGTTCTGTCCAAATCGATCCCACGGAAACTTGTATAACACCAAGAAATAAAAGTAGTTGTAACATCTCTTCAAATTCTAACTTAAAACCTTTGGAAATCTATAGTACCTTAGGACTGAACTACTGAAAAGTACACCTCAAAGAATTTCGAAGTTGTGTAGTACTGACTGAGTGCCTTCGTGATACTTCGGTTTATTTTTTTCAAAAGAATAGTTCTTTATTATATATTGCAAAGATGAGTCAGAACCATCCAAAATCACTGAAAAACTGACACGTGGAGCTAGTTTTATTATTGGACTTGATATCAGCAAGCTTGGCAAAAAGAACAAGCCAGAATCCATGATGCAATTTGGCTGGTGMAAGACTTTGTTTTGGTTTCACGAWAATGAATTTCCGCCGGAAGTAAAAGTACGTGATAGAGATCATGGTTGGTATAGCAGATGTCATTTCCGGTGAAATGTTGCTCCAAAGTGCACACAGTATTTTTCTTATTTGATTCGTATTAACATGGTGTCGCATGAGTTAAACTCTCCAGGATTTTATCAAATTATTATTTATRTTCGGAATTCGTTAGGCTAGAATGTCATATAGAAACCTTATATTTTTGGGTTCCCTGTGTGACACGTCAGTAAATCCAAGATGGCGTTCACTTTCTATGGTCTACTTGAGGCCTGTCTCCTTGTTGTAAACGCWGTAGCTGTGCTACACGAAGAAAGATTCTTATCTAAAAGTAAGCGGATAGATTATTTATAGTTCTTTTTACCTTTCGTATACCAAATAGTCTGAATATAAACGTACAAAATTGAATGCCATTGCATATCTTTGACTCTGCTGTCTGAAGACAAATGTAAGATTATAAGTTAAAACAATTAGCTTATACTTCACATAAAAAAGTCCACCCTGGAGAAAGGTCCATGGAAGAATTTTACTGTATTACTCATGTCTAATTCAAATTACAATGGCCACCTGAGAGGCTATCAAACAGTTAAACAGTACATTTACATATTTCTTATTTTGTACAGTTGGATGGGGAACAGATCAGCTGGCTGGCTTTGGAGAAGATAGAGGAACGAAACATCAAGTTATAAACCTAATTCACTCTGTCAGAACTGTGATGAGAAGTGAGTAATTGATAAAAGTATTTCAGTAGCTAGTCAATGGTTAACTATGGTCCTGTCTAAGACAATTTTTAGATAAAAGTCTTTGGATAAATGCTATACTGTTCCCACAATCTGTTACTTTCTAATTTGATGTGCTTTCTCTCTTTTTCAGTACCCTTGATTTTTCTAAATGCAGTTACTATAGTATTACTACTTCTGATGGGGTAGATATCAAGAAAGTTAATGTTACAGAAAGCTCACAGAAAGAAAAATTATCCTATATACAAGAAAAAAAGAACTGGAGAGTTATTCTTCAAGAATAATGCCAAAGCCTTGTACATAAAACTGTGATATGATGTTATTCAGGGGTGGGTCAGTCTTTAGAGTACTAATGCTACAACCACTTTTTATAACAAATCGAGGATCTGACCCTAAAGTGACCATTAGCCATAAAAAAAGTGAATATGCTATGCAGAAGAAGTTTGTTCAACAGTCTATATAAATGCTAAGAATATAACTATTATAGGTTGCAAAATTTTACTTTTTTTCACTATATCACATTTAGTCCAGTCGCTGTGCCCTTCCCTTTTCCTCAAAATTTCAAGCAGAGCAAAGAATAGGAGCTAGCGACTGGACTATACAAACATAGCCTGTGTAGCCAGGTGTTCCTAGCCGCTCCCTGGGTTTCTTCAGCCCAAACTCTCTTGGAGTGGCTAGGAACGCCTGGCTATGCAGGCTATACAGCTCAACACCTAAAAGTTTTGTCCTCCCCAATCTCCCCTCTACCCTCCCAAGTCAGGGCAGCTATGCATGTCTTGGCCATATATCTTGTTCCCAACAAGATAACAAAATTATTGGATAATGATAGAGACAAGCCTATACAAATACATATGTGTTGTTTCAAATGTGGTTCAAGTAAAAAAGCAAAAATTTTTGTTACTTAGGAAAATGGAGGAATTCAAATCCCATAAATATAATTTGTACAAAATTCTTACTTTGATGCCGTGTTGTTGGGGATGGGGCTTCTCATGGGAGGTAGTGGGTTAACCTTAACCCTAACCCCAAAAAATTGCAAAAAAAAAAGCTTGCAAAGAATAATGTATGTTTTATCTATGACATTCAATTCACTAGATCTGCACTGAACTATCATCTTTTGTATGATTTAATCCAAGGCCATCAATGCCAGATTAGTCCTTTGCTTACTTCCCTGTTTCCAGTCAGTGTCTGGAAAAACCATCAAAGCCAAATAAGTGGTATAGAATTCATAAGACATGATCTCATCATCGATGAAATAAGGAACCTCAGAAGTTTAAAATTTTTAAAGTTAGGTTGTATTAGACCATCGTGTGAATCTTGAGTGGAAACAAAGTTGAATATTTGTGTGTTTACTTTGTAAAATATATATTTCAAGTGGAATTGCGAATACTAGTCCGGCAACTGTTTTGCATACGTCTTTCAAAGCGTTTAAAAAAATAAATGCATCGGCATAAACTGACAATTGCTCGTCAACACTTAAGGTAATTGAGAGGGGATYATGCAAACTGCTCGTGGTCGTACGCGTGAACGGAAAATATCTGGTACCGACGGCATCAAATTAAGCGCACTAGCAATGAAAGTAGTCGAGTTTTGATACTACCTGAATACTGTGTATTCAGAGTTTAGTACTTATATTTTAAAAACCTCAAAACGTAGGCTTTTATTAGCTTCTATAACGGGAACCCATTTCCAGACAATTGAATTGCGTAATCACTAGACATAAGTGTTATTATGCAACCACTCTTATCCTTATCGCCGCACAGCATGCTACATCACATCACTTGTTACATTCGTGCAAAGAAGAAAGGTGTCCAGGCAGAGTTATGCAAGCACCTCGTGGACGTACGCGTGACTGAATAGTCTGAATAGAACAAAAAGCATATTAACCATGATGTGAGAGTTCTGCCATGATGTATTATTTTAATGCAAATTTTAGATGTCATATGTGCGTAACAGATTTCATGGATGGCTAGAAGATCATGTTTTATGGGGAAGTTCAGAAACATGGTTTGTCCAGGCACTCTGTCCAGACACTAATCTCGAAATATTTTGGGGATGGGATTCTGGGATGTTCCAGGGTGTCCTGCAGGTGCTGCCTTGTTTTATGGCTGATTTTGAAAAACTGCGCAAAATGTAGACTATCTACGCTAGATTTTGTTGTCAAAGAAAATAAATCCGACCCCGGTTTCCCACTCAGTCAACTCAAATACGTCGCTTTTTTCTTCTTGCTTCATGCCCCGTGATAAAAAAAACACAAAAATGCCGAGAGAAAGAAACACAATTAAACAATTTTTAACAAATTGAAACTATTTTCGTGAAATCAGTCCGTCACTCCACTTTTGACAAGATGGACTCCCTGTGGAATATAGTTACTCGTTCCCAGGGTTTCTCTGCTCAAGAAGACGACCCACCACGACAACAAACAACACAACACAGGTGAGAGAGAACGTCCTTAGAAAATTGTTATATTTTAGCGCAAAATCACTCACTTGGAGCTGCATAGTGGTCTAGTAGAAAGCCATTGTGATAATCTGTGATGTTTTATTGAGAAGAGACTTTAAAAAGTTGAAAATATATCAGAACTATATTAAATACCCACCTCGAGCAGTACCCCGCACTTTATGAATTTCTGTGTCACGCATGTTTAGAGAACCAACTGAAGTGTGCATTATTAGTTGAATTGAGTGAATTCGTTTCCAGAACGACAATTATAATTGAGATAAAGTATAGCCTCCGTTTTGAATTCAAAAGTCAAAGTTAATTTTCAATATGCTATTGCTCAAGCTTAATATCAATGCACAGCTTGACTATCGATCAAATCAAGCAGTCAAGCCTTTATTACATCGTTAAAGTGTAATAGTTAGCCGTTATTATGTGAAGATAATTGTTTATTCGGGTAATTTATTAAACCTGTTGTGGTTCACTGTGCATTGATATCATTTCAATATTGTTATAATTTTTGGCAACGCGTAAAACTTATACGTTATTAATTAACTTATTACCTTAAATTTGATACTTAACAAATAGATCTCATTTTTCCGTGCGTGTGTACTCTAATAGATACACAGATGACGTCAAAATGTAGTGAGAACAAAAAAGTACGCACGAGACGCAGTCTGTTTTATACAACAGACAATTAGTTTTGACGTAATCCGTGTATCTATACTTTGATAACACACGAAAGCCAACCAATCAAAACGTCTGATTTTACTGAAAAGTTGTATAAATTACAATATATCGATGTCCAGTCATAATGTAAGGTATACACATTACAGGTATATTGTTCTTGTTGCTTCATATACATTATCATTTTAATTATTTTATATGAATAATTATTACATTAGATTCATTAATTTTCTAACTTTTATCAATGTTATAACAATCAGGCAAATACAGCATTAATTTTTTATGATTTTTAATTAAACACCAGTAAGATGGACGTTGCAACACAAGCGTTTAAAAATGCAGACTCCTATGACAGTGCAAGAAAGGGGTACCCAATCAACTCAGCCAAACTATTCCTCTCAAAGCTACAAGAAACACCCAAGCAATTTAATGGCAACAACAATAAAGACAGAACAATTTTAGAACTTGGTGCAGGAACAGGACAGTTTAGTAAGGTCCTTGTTGAAGCTACTAAAGAAACAGATTTCACAGTAGTATCAAGCGAACCTTTAGAATCAATGGGAAAAGTGTTTCGGAAGAGCCTCCCTAATGTAGAACTGATCTGCTGTAGTGGGGACAAGATTCGTAAGTAAATATTTAATGCATGTGAATGAATAATGCATAAATTAAATTTTTGGCAGTTTAGGACATGGTCCTCATTATCACATAAAGCTAGGGGTGCTATCTTACCTTTGTTGTCAAAGAGGAAATGTAATTTTCAGAACCTACTGTACATCACTATTCAACTAAAAAGAGCACAGAGTTCCCAGTAGTGTGGTCTGCATGGCTCACCTCTTGATGTAACACTATGCCTCCTTTATCAATAATTTTCTTCTCCATCCTAGCTTTGCCTGATAGCAGCATTGACGCAGTCGTAGCTGCAAATACACTGCACTACCTTGCCAATGTTGAAAGCTTCACAGAGATTGCTAGAGTGTTAAAACCTGGTGGAATCCTTGCATTTGTTTGCAACTATGTTGACATACAAAAAGTTCCTTGGGCACAAGCAATCTATGACCTGTCAGCCAAATTTTACAGTCGAGTAGGCATTAAGCTTTCATTTGATGAAAATGGTATCACAAATGACTGGGAGAAAATGGCCTTAAATACTGGTTTTTATCAAAAAGTGCAAAAAGATTTCTTCTTTCACAGTGATAACATCACTGAAGAAGAAACAGTGAGAATGTTCATGTCGTATGGAGCTTTTTATCACTGTGATGAGACAGAAAGAGAAGATGTGAGGAGCACTTGCGAAAATATATTAAAAGAGAATTATAGTGGAGCTGGGAAGACAATGACTGAGATCCCGATGAGGTGTAGTTTATATTGGATGGAAAAGAAATAAGCAACGAAAGCAAAAGAAACAGTCGTAATAACTTAATCTAAGTTATAATCTCATCATTGATGATTATTCTTTTTTAAACATGGATAATTCTATTGAATTAATTCTAACACAGGTGATTGTTTTCTTTGAAACTTGAGGTATAAAGAATTGAAAAGGCCAGTTAACACTGGCGATTTTTGCTGCGATTTTCAAAAATATGATATTTCTCTTTTGTCTTACCTTTGTTAGCACAACTCTGTGTACTGACTTTGCTAACTTTAAAAGTTAATTCTTAATCATAATTCACAAAAAAAAGACACAAAATGAAAGCAAAAAGCACTGCAAAAATCCCAGCAAACATCGACAGTGTGAAATTGATAGTGAACAAATTACAAACATATGATATTTCTAGTTAATTTAGGTATAGTTTGATTTTATTGTGTCATCTTCAGTAGAAATGTGAATATAGAAGTCCAATTTTACAAATCTAAATTAACTAACAGGAARCTTTTAAACTGTTCTCTTTTCTTGGGTTCCCTGTGTTTTTACTGTCCGTTTCCTTTCCTAAGGAAAGGAGGCCCTACAAAGGACACTATAGGTCTAAGAGTCAAATTTTATTATCAAGAATTACTTACAGAGGTAGTATATATGACTGGATATTTTATTTTGATATCTAACAAAAGTCGAAAGTGTTTTGAGAGGAGCTTAAGTGCTTAGAATGGTATCTTGGCCTTTAAAAGGGAACTATAAATATCTAGATTCTCTTAATCTTTAAATATGACGTTGATCTAATAGTTTCACAGTTCAGAGAATTATGTATTTTATCACAAAATGCAGATAATTATCAGATTGTCGTAGTTTTATGCAAAATTAATAAAATGAAAAAAATTCAATAGAAAGGCAAAAATGACTTCTATCTATTACATATTGCTGGTTTTCAATCATTCTCATGAGATTCAAACAGCAAAAGACTGGCGGCCATATTGTTGGAAGAATGAGCCATAGATGCTTACGAGAAACCCTTTGTTGAAATACCTCCAAGATGGCCGCTGTTACGTAACCTGAAAACCAGCAGCAATATTATAAAGGATCTATAGCTCTCCGAGTTTAGTCGGTGAGTTTCATTAAATCCAAACAATTGGGTCATTCCTTAAAGGCGGGCATCTCTTTCCAACTACCTCACGACAAATTGAAAAATTAGTGGAACAAGAACGATAGCAGTCAACTTGGAAGCAGTTTTGTGGCTTGATTCAGAAACAACTGCCATAAGAATATATGAACCATTCCTGTATTTATACCTCGAGCAGACTGAACTTCTATACTGAAACCTCTCATGCGGCATCTTTACCGTATCCCTTTTCTTGCGACTTGAGGAAACGCGACATCTTGTTGTCCAGAACGTCCCAATTTGAATACCAAAGTAGACCCTGTGATTTGTAAAATCGTGTACATTTGGCTTTGTTATGAAGCTGCAATTGAGATCTTCATTGTACGGTTTCCCATGGCATTCTCTGTGTTTTGTGTTTGGACTAACAGCCTTAGCCATGTAATACGCTTCTATGCCGTGATGGTAAGGGCCGTTTATAATATTTGGCATATAGTTAGGAAAATGAGGGACAGCATCATCGTAATTAACGACTCGCCAGCTGTTGTTGACAAGCAAGTCGTGCTCGTAGGCATACCGTAAATTCCCAACTCGAGGCATCCCAAACGTATACGAGATCAGATTTTTACGTGGAACAATCTTGTAATGACTTAACCAAGTGCTGGCAAGAGATGCCATCGCGCCACCAAGAGAATGTCCAGTTACCCAAACTTGATACGAGGGGTGAGCTGATACAAGTCTTTTGATATCCTCATTTAAGCATGGCCATAATTTATCAAATCCTCCCTTCCAGTATGTCTGAACCTCGCCATCTAAATCCTTCAAAAACTTTTCTTTTGGCTTCGATAAAGTCTTTAGGAATACTTGCAAGGCCTGATCCAGCTCCATAGATCCACGGAAAGCAATGACTATTGCTTTAAGGACATTCGAAACAGCCAAATATACAGAACACTTGTTGCCTTTRTCGTCACATATCCTAGTAACTACCTCCTGAAGCTGGAAGTTTTCAGAAGGAAGAGAATTAGCTAAACACTCTTGAGGATCACTTGGGTCATATGCCGCTGCAGATAGAAGAAGCATTTTCAAGGACAACTGTGGGTCATATCTGGAGAACTTATCATCGCAATGCGATTTTTCAACAACGTTTTCAGCTCTCTTGCAGGGGTTTGTTGGTGAGTTCGACAGCACATAGCATCCTGAATCTCTATTACACCAATTACATGGATTGTTGTTRAAAACTGATTGCTCGATGCACTCTCCGCACTTTTTRCCATCGCATTTGCCAAATATTACATCGACAGCGGATAGTATAAGGATAAGAAAGAGAAATGTTTGATAGAACATCTTTGTATAACTCTAGTCGGAAGTGAAAATRAAAGTATTTATTCCCAGACCTTGTTGACAATGACTCATGGATCATCTAAAATAGACTATCTTTCTCGGCCCAATAGCAAGCCGGCAGGGTCAAGAAATCACAAGAAAGGTCCAGTGCTGGGATATTCTGTATTATTGGAGCGAAACGAATAATATCTCGCCAGTTCCTTCTATTACCGCGGTCAATTTCAGCTAATTTCAATTGTGGATAAAAGATAAAAACACTTAGACTTCATTTATATTTGTGTTTCGTTAGTCGAGACTTTCAGAGCAGAAGTCTTGAGATTCAAGTGAAGGATAGCCTGTTTACAGACCGAAATTTTCTCAAAGTAGGATAGAGTCAGTGAATTCTTCAGGGGAAACCCCCTTCGAAAGTCGGGTTTCAGATTGTCGTATTTTCATTATTAAAATGAATAAAACAAAGGAATTTTTACAGAAATACTAGGAAGAGTTAATTGTTTTAGTATCAGACTGTGAAAATATTTCGTTTAAGCACCGATTGTTTCAAGAATATAACAATAGGGACACCCTGATGATACTTTSCACTTAGACGTTATGATCTTGCTTSCTGATTGGGCCGGATGCWTCRGACYAGTYACTAGATAAGTCATAATATRAGCAACGTCTATGAATAAGTAATCTCATTTTCACTTTCGACTAGTGGTCCACAAAGATGTTCCACCAAGTGTTTTTCCTTCTCTTCCTCTTGAAGTTATCGGCCGTGGATGCCTTAGTCTGCGRTAGCAAARACTGTMGAGGCTGCACTCAGCAATCCKTCTTKGGCRCCACRTGCAGATGGTGCAACAGAGATTCAGAGTGCCRTGTTCCTGCRTCTCTATCAAACCCTTGCAAGAGRGCTGAAAACGTTCTTAAAAAGTCCCACTGCGATGATAAGTTCTCCAGATACGACCCACAGTTGTCCTTGAAAATGCTTCTTCTATCTGCWGCGGCGTATGACCCAAGTGATCCTCAAGAGTGTTTAGCTAATTCTCTTCCTTCTGCAAAATTTCAGCTTCAGGAGGTAGTTWCTAGGAARTGTGACGASMAARACAACAAGTGTTCTGYATATTTRGCYGTTTCGCATGTGCTGAAAGTTGTCGCTGTTGCTTTTCGTGGATCTTTGGGCCTCGATCAAGCATCGCAAGTGTTTCTAAAGACCTTAACGGAACCAAARGAAAAGTTTTTGAAGGATTTAGATGGCGAGGTTCAGACATACTGGAAGGGAGGATTTGATAAATTATGGCCATGCTTAAAGGAGGATATCAAAAGACTTGTTTCCGCTCACCCATCTTATCAAGTTTGGGTAACTGGACATTCTCTTGGTGGCGCGATGGCATCGCTTGCCAGCACCTGGTTAAGTCATTACAAGATTGTTCCACGTAAAAATCTGATCTCGTATACGTTCGGGATGCCTCGAGTTGGGAATTTACGGTATGCCTACGAGCACGACTTGCTTGTCAACAACAGCTGGCGAGTCGTTAATTACGATGATGCWGTTCCTCACTTTCCCACCTTACCATCAGTAACTCTGATAACTGCCAACAATCCATATCATCATGGAATTGAGGCTTATTACACGGCTAAAGCTACCAGTGCAAATTCGCCGCATAGAGAATGCCATGGGAAACCGTACAATGAAGACCTTCAGTGCAGCTTCACCACAGTTCCAAATTTTGTCGACTTAACAAACCACCGAGTCTATTTTGGAATTCGCGTTGGTGAATTTTTTGAAACAAGATGTCGAGTTACTACCTCGAGTCGAAACAAAAGAGAAACTGCTAAGATGCCACAGGTGAAGTTTCAATATAAGAGTTCCGTCTGCTCAAAGTATAAATACACGAATGGCTCATACGTAATGGAAATATCGAAGTCGTTCCACGTCACCGCTTCAAAGACTTTAGTTACTGTTTCGTTAGTTTTGCATTTGATTATGAAGTAGTGAAGAGGCGCGCTCGATCAGTTCGATACGTCTTGAAATTGTCAATAATCTTACAGCAATAATCGTACAGCACTGTCATGAATCAGTCTTATAGATAGCTTAAAACTACATGACATTCTCAGGAACTTGAAGGGTGAAAACTATGTAATCATTGCGCTGTCATCATGCCGTACAATGTAACACAAAGCCGGAGTGTTGATTATTTGTTCAGTTACAGCGTTTACGTAAGCCCTATAAATCACTTGTTATTGTTCAGCAATAGTATTATTATTGTTTGTCGATTAGTGTTATTGTTATTGAGATTTATAACTATACGTTTTTGACTTTATTTCGATGCAAAAACGAGTTAAAATCGACTCTGTTTGAACCATATTTATCCACAATATATCTACACTTTCAGCAGATCTGTTAATTCTTCATGCAGAGTTCCTCTATTGTTTTTGTGAGCCTCTGCTGCATCGATGCTGCAACCATTGTACAAACATTGCTCCTCAGTCTTTGCATTTGGGCTTTATTGCACAAACGTTTTTAAAACAAGAATAGCTTGAAGCAATTAAAGGATTGATCAGTTTGAATTTAGGCTTTGTTGTGCTTCGTTCAGTTCTTGTTTTGGATCGAAAGTTGGTTTGATCGAAAGAGTTGCTTTTCAGATCTAGTAGTTTCGTAGGCAACTTTTTATTTGCAATGACTTAGACATACTATCATTGTCATGTTATACTTACAGTCAAATGAATTAACAAAAAATMTTTTGATTATGCACCAGTCATTTATTGGAGTAACATTACAATCTTTATTACTCAGTACTAATATAGACTACAAAATTCTCAAACTATTTCTTTCATGACGAGGTTGATTTGCTTCACTGGGCGAATATGTAWCCMMAGGCAWAGATACTTCTGTCGCCATTGTCGGGGCTACAWYKAGCTTCGTTTCCTGCACTGTTGCCACGGTTCTCACCACAGTTTCCACCGCCTGTACCGAACCCAATGCGAGAGTCAGCACTGTTGCAATCACCTTCTTGATTAGAAATGATCCCAATGCGAGCCTTGGAATGTGAACGCTCGCCCATGTTATTGAATCCCTCYCTGTTGCAGTTACGTTGAAGGGAAGAGTGGGGGACAAGGTTCTTCCAGGCGTTACGGCCGACATGGAAGCTCCTGAATCCCCCTGGAGCGATTATGTCATATAAACTCGCCCTYGCGTTGTAATTTAAGGTTAACCAGCGAAGTGATCCACCAACTCTCATGCCTAATGATAATCAAATACATTTTGTAAAACTGTTAGTTACCAAAGTTTCCAATCCGAGTTCCGTACAAAACCAAGGGTTTATAATCTAAAATATGTTTTCACTTTAAAATTTTGTACTCAGAATTTAGGAAATATAAATACCTAAGCAAAGACGCTGAAACTTGTAGGTCGAGTAACTTTCCAGTTTCGTCTCTTGCTGGCCAAGACCAGAGGCCGCACCATTAGGATTGTAGGGGGTTCTGCTCCTCCACTGGTGAGAATCGTAGYTAAACGTACCAGAGCGTCCGTTGATTTTCATGATCATCGTCCAGCCTCTTGATCCACATATGTGACTCGACATGTAACAGTAGGTCTTGGTGACTGTGGCACCGTTYTTGAGGTAGTAGTAGCCATCTCCTGCACCACTATTTAATAAATGATACATTACTCCAGCAATCTGATTATAGCTACTGAACTATAGCCTGCGTTGCATGCCGGAAGAATATTCCGGATGTAACGCAGGCTACTGAACTATGGTAAACACTTATTTCAAAAAACGTTGTCGAAGGGAGAATGCACGACCAAAAGGGGCTATGGTTACACTGTTTGACATACAAAAAATTCAATTTTTTGGTTTGCGTGAAAATGGAAACTAAATGGAGCCAATGATGACCACACACTATCTTACAGTATGAATCAGTTATTATTCCCCATCCATTAGCAAAACCCATGGCTCCTTTCGGTCGTGCAATCGCCATGCGTGATGGATTTTCTCGGTGAAGGCGCTATGTGCCACCTAGGCACTACAGAGAAGAAGACATATTCGTGATAGATCATGGTCGCATATGAAGAAAAACTGGTCTGTAGTAATGGTAGGTTTTCTTAGCGGTTGTGTTAGTATTTTCTTCGTCATAAAAAAGTTGTCGTAAAATGTGATGGCCATAGCGATGGGAACTAAAAGTGAAACAGTCATAGAAATATTCATTTACCAAAGACAACTACCGACCTTCGTTTAGAAATGATTTCATTACATGTCGTCCCTGGATTGGTCTTATCGCCGATTGGTGGAGGTTTTGTCGTGGGTTTTGGCGTTGGTTTTGGCGTGGGTTTTGGCGTGGGCTTTGGCGTGGGCTTTGGTGTTGGCTTCAGTGTAGTTGGTTTAGGAGTTGGGGGCGGCGTTGGAGCTTGTGTGGCTGGAAAACTTCCACCAACATCAACGAAAACTTCTCCGTTGCAAATCTGAAGCTTTTTATTGAAATAGCGAAGTGTCCCTTCGCTGTTCTTGTTACAATTGCARTTATGCTTGGGAACTCTGTATACATACAGCTGCTCATCCGGGACATCACAATACATATTTTGGTCAGTGACAACCGCAGTCAGCGCAGCCGCCAAGAGTAGCAATATACGTAACATCATGACGTCATTCACTGTGTAACAATTGACCAAATGAAATAGTTTAGCGTAAAATACGAAATATATAAGTTATTCTCAGAGCTGTATTTCTAACACTGCATAAAAGAGGATGAGTTAACAGTTTATCGCACGCTGGTTCTCGCATATCTTGATACTCATTTATAAACTCACTCATTTTCAGTTGCGGGGTTTTTCAATTCCTCACCCTGACACCCTGCGCAAATCTCCCTGTTTGTTGGGTGTGCTCTGTTTGTTGGGTGTGAAAGTGAAATTCTTGTGTGGTATTCCAGCACCAGTTTATTGCATAAGATGTACAGCATCGTCAAATTATACTGACTCGGTAGGTTACACAAGAGCACCTACTCCTAGTGTCCTACCAAGGCTTGCGCGCGACTTAGCTATTTCATGTACAAAATGATTCGTGTTTGCCACTGTCATTGTTCATGGTAATGCAGCTTTGATCTCTCAGGAATCAATCTGATTTTTGCTTTGGAAACGAAACSTAGTTCAGTTGAGGGYTGGTAAGAACGTAGAGAAGGCCTCTTGACAAAAGAGCAGAYATTTAAGAAAASTCTGAGCTAGGCAAAAAATAAGGAATGGCAGAAAATGAAGCAGTAAAAACGCTTGAGTAACAAACAAACAGATCAAGAAAGAGGAACAAAAGGCATGGAGTTAAAAAGAAGTGTATGGTATGACTAGCMACATGAAAACTAAAAGAGACGGGACGGTGTACAGCAGAAAAAATATAAATGATTTCCCATAGGTGATGGTGAAAAAGAATCATTTGATGTTGAAAGTATACAACAAAGCAGAAGATTGAAATAAAAGAAGACTTTCAGCAACAACCGTGAAGAAGACGAATGAAACATAAACTAGTTGAGAACTGCATTGCAGAAAAAAAGAAACATGTACAAACTAAACGTATGCGAACAGTATTCGGAAGGTAGGGCGAAAATATATCAATCGAAAAAGAAGAAAAGAAATAGAGGATTGGGATAAAGACAAACAATTGTGGAGAAGAAGATGAAGACACTAAATGATGGTAAAATCAAAACAAATCTACAGATTTTTGCAATAGAAAACGAAAAAGAAGTCCAACTCAAAAAATATAGTTTCAACTTACCTAGTAAAAGCTCAGTTCTATCCGTGACTTTCTCAAGGTCAATGGACACTGAAGTGAAAAAYGCCTGCTCAGTAGGTATTTATCTAGTGGCTCAAGTAATTAAACACTTGTTAAACAACTTATAACAATGAGTAAACAATTAGAGAGGGAATAGTGCGGTGCTCCCTTTATTGTGTCAATTTACAATTGGCCACCCTGATGGAAATATATCTTGATGAACGATTAGATGAACGATTAGAAAATCACTAAAAGGCCTCTATTTAACACTTTGTTTTTAGTAAAAATTCATCTGGTTTAATTCGAGAATTTACTCGACTTATTTCGATCTGTATTATTTCGGTCTAATTACTTTGTAAATTAATTAAATTAATATTCGGAATATCAGGGGATATTTTTAATCTCTGCAAAAAACTCATAAAAAAACAACATTTTATTATTGAATTTGATTTTTTTTTGTCAACGATCAGAATGTTTGTTTAAAAAGTGCAAACAAAAAAATTAAGCATTATTAAAAAAAGTTTCGTGTTATCGCTGAAAATTATTGAGTATCTGTGATGTTACCGAAAGAATGATAATTTTTTAATGGTGTTTTTAGGATTTTTTACATTCTTAAAAGCGTTTAACAGAAAGAAATCAAAACGCTTCAATGTTGACATGGCAACACATTATCTATTAAGTAATCACGTAAAAAGCATGAAGATCTTAAGTAACCGAAAAAAATGTTACCACCAGAATCGCTGTGCTATGTAAACAGTTTTACATGAATGGCAATCTGATTGCTTGTTTATTAAACGTTCTCTTGGTTTTAATTTAGGTTCAATGCTGTTACACTTTTCCTCTTTACTTCGCTATCCTCTSATCTGATATATAAACTTACACCAAAATTAAGTTTGCAGCTAGTGACGCCATTTTGTATAATAAAGCATGATGGGAAATATCTATGATGGGTAGCTGTTTAAAATTATACTCTATTTGCAGAAACGCCACAGCTAAAAAAGGAAAGGAAAAACGGCTTTTGAAGACTGTTTTACCGGACATGAAAAAGTGCGACTACAACTATGCTCTATTGCACAAAATGGCGTCACTGCACATTATCTATCAGTGGCGTTTCGGCGCCAACACTGAAGTCAAAACACTTTTTTTAACTTTAATTTCTGTTTGTTGAAGATGGCCCAAGGACTGAAAAGTTCCTTAAAAAAAACAGAAAAAAAACAATAGAAAAAAAAAACATTAAAAAAAAACATAAAAAAGCAGAAATACAAACTACAAGTTGGTATTTTATCCTGCATTATTCTACTTATATAAATTGCAATATTTCTAGTTCTTCATTAGTGTCCATTTAGGCATTTGCTCAAAGKCACTTAAAGTACAAAACGAAAATTAATTCTCAGTGCAGTAGGTGTGCACACAGAACAGCTATCTTGTTCCTTACTCCTTGTCTTATGTAAGATAAACGAAGAGAGACGATGATGGGGTTGACAAGACTCTGGAGATGAATGAAGGTGAAGCAGATTGGCTGAGCAATAAACTGGAATTCATCAGTAATGTATTTTCCCTTGATAGAAATAATGGTACTAACGATTAAAATAGGAATGTAAAACACAAATGTGGTGGCTACCATCATTATAATTGCCATAACGCAATGGGGTTCCTGCTGCCTCTGTTGTTGTTGTTCTGGTTGTAAGTAATTATGTTGTTGTTCTTGTTGTAAATGGTGCTGTTGTTCTTGTTGTAAATGCTGTTGTAAATGTTGCTGTCGATCTTGCTCTTGTTGCAAATGGTGTTGCTCATGTTCATGTTGTAGATGTTGTTCTTGTTCTTGTTGAAAATGTCGTTGTTGTTGTTCTTGTTGTAAATGCTGGTGCTGTTTTTGCTGTAAATGCTGTTCTTGTTGTAAATGTTGGCACTGATCTTGTTGTAAGTGATGTTCTGGTAAGTGTTGTTGCTCTTGCCTTTGTTGCAAATCTTGTTGTAAATGATCTTGTTGATGGTCGTGGACAAAATCTTGTTGATGGTCGTGGACAAAATGCTGTTTATTCGGCTGTAACTGCTGCTGATGTGCAACAAGTTCTAAATGCTGCTGTTCATGTGGCTGTGATTGTTGTTCTCGCTGCTTTTGTTGGTCAGGTTGTTGATGTGACTTTCGTAATTGCTGTTGCTGATTTTGTTGTGACAGTTGCTCTCGCTGCAGCTGTTGGTCTTGCCTCTGTTGGCTTRATTGTTGTAAACGTTGCTGCGCTTGCGACAGCTGCTCTCGCACTTTCTGCTGCTGTTGGTCATGCGAATGGTGTACATGCATTTGTTGCTGCGATTGTGACTGTTGCTCGTGTTGTTTCTGTTCTGTAGAGTAGAGGGTATGAGCATATTCCTCTTGTTGTATTGAAGGTGGTTTAAGATAATTTCTTTCCTGGTGTAGTYGCTCACTATCTTTCGCTTTCTCTTGTAATATTGCTCTGTGTTGGCGATATTTCTGTTTTCGATTTTGCTCATGATTTTGTTGTTGATTGTGTTCCTGACTATCTTGTTGTTGATCTTGCTGTCGTTGATAATGTTGTTGATCTTTTAGCTCTTGCACTTGTAGCTGTTGCTCTTCTTCTTGTTGATCTTGTATTACAACTCGCGGAAGTAGTCGGTTTTTATATTGATGCCGGCTTTGTTTTTGATCTTGTTCATGAATGTTTTGTAGTTGATCTTGTAATTGGTGTTGCTCTTCTTCATCTCCATATTCTTTCTCTTGCTCCTCTAGTTGTTGACCTTGTTGTTGCCGAACTTCTTCGTTTTGATTTTGTTGGAGTTCACCGTGGTGTTGTTGATCTTGTTGTTGTTGACCTTGGTGTTGTTGATCTTGTTGTTGTTGACCTTGGTGTTGTTGATCTTGTTGTTGTTGACCTTGGTGTTGTTGATCTTGTTG